CCGTCGGAGAGGACAGAGTTCTTAGAGAATATACAGTGCTTTTTGCCCAAAGAAAAGATGGATCCGTTGCACGTCTGCAGCGATAAGTTGACCAAATTTGTTGAGCTCACGTCACAGATGAGCAAAGATGAGCCACATTTGCCATTCATTTGCTGCGGTTTCCAAGAGTATCGCCACTGTATTGTCAGCAACACGGAAAAGATCTGCACAGTTGGTCACTCTCAGTTCTGGGACGAGATTTTTGACGAGATGGTCAGTCTATCATCAATTATATAATTATTTAACTAATGTATTAACAAATTTACGTACGTTATAGTCAATGGAGGCGATTACGTATGCTTGCTCAAATTATGAAACATATGATAAATGTCATAAAAACCTATACCCCGAGGGACTGGCAAAGATCAATGCCATTATGGAGGCAACCGATCCGGCCGTTTGGCACCACGGCTTCAAAACTCCGGTCAAATTCTTCCTCGATATGATCAGAAAGTTTTATTAATTTTATTTTTCGTTTGTTAAATAAATTGTTTAAAATAAATAAATAAATCCATATTAAATTACTAAGGGATTACTTAGCCTTTATTTATAATTAGGCTTTTGATTACCTTAATATAATTTATTTATGTTAATAAATTATACTTTTTTAAAACACTACTTTTGTCAATAATAAAATAATTTCAAAAACTGCATAATACATGTGTGAATACTTAAAGCGTTTGATTCTTTATAATTAAATAAATTTAAATTTTGTCTAAAATTAGTATTTATTAATAAATCAATGATTAAATATATAGATAACTTTTTTGAGTGAATTAAGACTATGAGCACAAAAGATGCCCAAAATATTTAAACATTTACTCGTATTTAACGCATTTGATGGCAGAGATTATGGGCACAAAAAAACGACAAATTGAATAATTACTGACTGTTTTGGTCTCAAATAAGTTGAGATAATTTTAGCCCAAAATTTATGTGATTTTAAATTTTTTGGGCAAAATATTGCATAGATTTTGTTTGGGAGGGAAACACCTGACGGCTTGCAATTCACGACAACATTTATTAATACTTTGTCGGAGGCATTGATTGCTACTCTAGATTATAGACCACAAGAACTTAATATTTATTTCATTAATAAATTGATAAACTATTTAATACTAAACGTAATTATAGACAACCATTTGAATATAAGTTATGATTATTAAAGGCATGTGACGTGAAATCTCTTATAAGATATATTTCTCGCCATATATTTTAATAGCAAAGAAAACAATTAGTGAATAGTATTGCGTAAAAATATA